GAATTCACAGACGAATGTAGTTTTTCTCGGGACAAGATTATTAATTTTCATAATTACCACATATGGGCTGATGAAAACCCTCACTCTATTGTTGAAACTCACCATCAAGAACACTTTTCTCTTAACGTGTGGGCTGGAGTTATTGGTGATTATTTAATTGGGCCTCATTTTCTACCTCCTCGATTAAATGGTGAGGCATACGTTCAATTTTTAAGAGAAGTGCATCCCCTTCTGCTGGAGGAAGTTCCTTTGGGCGTCAAAAGGGATATGTTTTTTATGCATGATGGGGCTCCCGCCCATTTTAGTCAAGTAGCACGTCAGCATTTAACTGAAACATATGCAAATCAGTGGTTAGGTCGAGGAGGACCACAGAATTGGCCCGCTTGATCCCCTGATTTCAATCCTCTCGATTTCTCTACTTGGGGCCATTTGCAGCATTTGGTTTATCGTACTCCTGTTCGCGATGTAGAGGAATTAAGAAACCGCATCATCGATGCGTGCAGGGTGATTAGAGAGACTCCAGGATTATTTGAACGAATACGTGGCTCAATGCGCCGATGTCTAGACGCATGCGTAATGTCTGAAGGTAGACATATTGAACATTTACTATGCTACATGTTGTATGTTTTGTTATCCTTTTTAATCATTTAATGCAGGTAGTAACTACAAAATAACAATAAATCCAGTTCGCATTTATGACGATGTATCTCTGTAGTTGTTCGTAAAATAATTTTTTTGCTGCGAACTGGTTTATTTTGGGCAAAAAATTTAAGAGACATTTTTTGTTTAGAATGAAACAGGCTATCGGAAATAAAATTTTAAATGGTAAACAAATAATAAAACAAAAAGTTACGTTGAAACGAAATTTTTGGGGTTGCGTTTTCCACCTTACAACCATGGGGTAAACCAAATAAATTACTAGCTATTTAGTTACACCCTGTATACTTACATTGTTGTGTTAAATGTCCATTAAAAATATATTAATGTAAAAATATTTAATCACACACAATAACATATTTTTAAATTTGGATTAAGCAAAAACATATTAAACAATTAAATTAACGCAAATTAATAAGGGAAAAATCCAAGTTTAATAAATAAAACGCCTGTTGACGTTTTGTATTTCCCCTTAAGTTGGGTGAAGGTAGAACCATTTTTATGTCGCTCAAAAAAACCATTGAAATATCGGGCACGTTTGGCATATGGAATGTGTTCATCATTTTGTTAGTGTTTCGTAAAAAACTCACTTCCACTTCCGATTTTTCCGCACTTATAACTTTACCGACATAATAAACTTTATGATTTTTTGTTTGAAACTCAACTAAAATGAACGCTTTCGTTGATGGTGGACTCTCCAAGGACTCCCAAGATTCTATCTACAATAACTTTAGTTTCTTCATCATCATTATTCGATATGACCTCTTCAGAATAAACGCTGTAGTTATCTTCATCAGTAGTTTCCGGTTCTTCTTGTGCGATATTTTTCTATGCAGGTTTTGAATTTTTCATTCTCTTTGCAGCTTTTAGTTCTTCAATTTTCATTTTTTCCGGCGTGTCTGTAGCTACCACAGACTTCCCTTTGCGCCTTGGTTTTCTTCCTTTTCTAGGCCCAGCCACAGGAGAGCCACAAAATTATTCTGGAGAAAGAAACTGATTTAAAGTATCAGCAAGTTGTTACCAAAATCCCCCTTTCTCCACTCGTTATTTCACACACTTGCTTTTGGCCTTTAATATCAAGTACTTTTTATGCTGCTTGTACCGTTGTTGTACCAGTTTTGTCTAGGTTGTATACTCTTGTACCATTAGCGAAAGTGGGATTACGTGTCATAATTTCTTTTTGTTTTGCGTAGAAAATTTCCACATTGTGGCGGTTGAAGGAAGTCGCTCTCACTAAGCTACATCCTTCTGGTGTTCTCAGACTTAATTCTATGTGTCTTTTTCTGAAATTGTAAAGCCACTCTCTTCCAGCACACTTCATTACATGCCACTTTTCTAGAACATTGATGTTGTTAGTTACGGCCATTTCGTATCCCAACTGCCGAACCTCTTGTCTGGTTAAACCATGTAACATTTGACTAAATTTTTTGATATAATTCATCAAACCCATTTCTTGTTCAATCGTAAATATTTTTCTAACTGCATAATTAGAAGTTAGTTTTATATGCTTTTCATAATTTTTAGATTTTTGATACCTTCGAAGGGTAGTAAAAGGAATTTTTATTAATTCTGCGACACTCCTTAGACTTCTATTTTAATTTTTAATAATATCTAAAGCATGTTGCATCTGTTGTTGTGTTCATACCTATTTTAGTTTTTCGAACCCTGTTCTATGGCATGTTGATTCTGAAAAAATATACTTTCGTCACAAAATATAAAAGTTACAACTTATGGGGAACAGTGGATCATGATCCACTGAGCCCCATTGGTAGTTGGGTCACTGTCACCCGACTGAACTTTTGCCGCTAAACAATACGTATTACAAAAACTAGCTCAGCTAAACCCAAAATACCAACTAATTTCTTATTAACACTAATCAAATAAAATATCTAACACTAAAAAACTTTATAATTTCCAGCACGGCTTACATAAACATGAACAATACTTACCAACAGGAAAAAACATTACTTATTTTAAAACAACAAAGATGGCACAGCATATCTACATTCATCATCAGCTCAATGAACACTAAATTGAAAACTGATGGGCGGTTCGATTAGACTTTGATGTGTGTTATAGAGTGAAATGCTTCACTGAAGTTAAAAGAAATATGGCGGCTAATTCACTATGCCCCTTGATCCACTGTAACCCTATCTCCCCTAAATAAAGTGACTACATTTTTTTACCTACCTATTTAATTGGTATTTTTATTACTAGAAACAAGAGTAGCTTTACAGGTGGCCTCAGGATACGCAGTGAATAAAGCCTCATAAATTGTCGGGAGTGTATTTCTTTGTTGCTAGTCAATTTTACATATTTTAATTATTAATAAATTGTATGTACTTGTTAAAAAAAAAACAAACAAAACCGAATCTGGAGAACAAATAATTCATTAAGAGAAACAAAAATAAATCAAACAAAACTAGTAATTATTTAGATAAAATTGCATTTCTTTTATGCTTCTAGAATGATTAAATATTTCTTTTCTCATTAAATTGCATATTTACAATCTGCTATTTAAAGATATAGGTAAATATGATTAATATTGTAAATAATTGAATGGAGACGTTATCCAGTAAAAATTCTCCTAGCTAAACATTCACTTTACTAGTTTAAAACGTCAGTAGGCCACTATTTTTTAACCGTCTTCCCATTTCAGGCTGAATGTAGAGATATCTAGCTTACTTATTCGTATGTTCAGGATGTTGTGTGAGGTAGTTCCTCGCTGGTCTGTTGATTTCATCTTCAACAAGTGGTAAGTCAGAATCATCGTGTAAGGCAGGTCTGCACAACTGAGATTTTCAAAGGGCCAGTCCACAAACCGTAAATGTACGCGAGCCAAGAGGGCCAAAAAGGTCCTCACCTTATAATTATCTAATCCAAGTTCTTATAATTTATAAACCAACTCTGAAAAAAAAGGCCCATCAGCTTATAATGAACCAGGTCCTTCTATCAAGCTCCTAAAGAAGGCTATTAATACCTAAATGCAATTTTGTTACTGACAAATGTGTAGTTTGACGTAGGCGGGCCAAACTGGTCAACGGACAAAGGGCCAAGAAAACGACAATGACGAGCAGCATGCGGCCCGCGGGCCGTATGTTGAGCAGCCCTGGTGTAAGGTCTTATTTCTAATGTACCATGGTGCATTGAAATTGTCAGAAGTAAAAAATAAATAAAGATGGGGACCTAGGATACTTTCTTGAGGGACACCGAATTGTATTGGATAACAGTTAGAGATTTCAGTGTTAAATCTTACTTGAAAGTACCCATTTCTGAGGTATGACTTGAGGACTGGGTAGTGAGAAGTAGGGAAATATGATTGTAGTTTATGCCTTTATGCCATTTACTTGGTGAAAAGCTTCTTGCATATCCAAGAATGCAGCCACATATAATTTTTTCTCTTTACATCGTTCCTGTTATATTATTGTACAGTTGAATGAGTTTCTCTAGAGTCAAATTGGTAATTTGGTATCGGTAGCAAGCTTATTGGCCGAAGTTTTATTTGGAGGTTTATTTGATTTATTGGTAATTATAATTTGAGCGAAATTTTATGTTATCGTGTAGTATGCGAGTCTTAATACGCTATTGTATAGTATGGTTAGCAAAACTAGGGTTTTCTAGTCAATTGCTTGAGAATTTGGCCGTTAATCAAATCAAAATCAGGGGCTTTATGGTTGTTACATCTTGAAATTTCTTGTTTAACTTCAGTTATGAATAAAGTTTTAAACATGAGATATTCAAGAAGTTTTTAATAGGATCGTCGTCATTAATAATAGACTCAGGTGGACTTAGACCTTAGAAGAGGTGTTATTCAAAGATAGATGCTTTGTCGTGTTCAGGTTTTGCATCCAGCTTCTATCTTCTTTCCTTAGAGGTGGACTGTGTTATATCGGCTGCTTAAATAATTTGCTTGCCTTACAAATAGTATGGTATTTGTTTAACAAATTGTTGATGTGACATTTTGTATAACCTATAAGGCTGTTTCTAATCTATTCGGTTACTCCTTGCTCTTCTTTTTTGAGTAACGAGATTTAATTTAAAAATATTTAAATATACCGATATAGTTACATGTCCTAAAGTTATACAAATTTATGCCTCCAATTTTACTTTTATTTACCTAAAAAAATATCAACAAATATTGTATTTATACGCGCCTACTTTATTACGCAAAGCTTCAACGACAATGCTACTCTTATTGAGCTTATACCTAACTATCTTTTTCACCCTTTGAACCCACTGTTATCATCCTGTTTCGTTTCTAAGAACTAGAGCTCAAGCAATGGAACACTTCAACTTTCAAAGCTTAACTTGCCATTATTTTGTATAAAAATATTTCATTACAGATAGCTGGAGTGGCTCTGAACGGAACCTGTAGAAAAGGAGACATAGAGGAATCGCTGGAAAACATGAAAACAATCGACAGTGTCCCGTACCAACGAGTTTTCGGCCTATTGAACGCTGTTAACAAAGAATTAGACCTTTTTACTAGATACAATGTAGACAAAATATTCGATCTAAGGATACTTTCAGTAGATTCGAAATATCGAGGAAAGGGTCTGGCTAAGGAACTTTTCTCTAGAAGTGAACTTATCGCTGAAGAACATGGATATAAGGTTTAGTATTAGTAATACTTAATATTTCTTCCTTTTCTTTCTTTTCTTCACTTGAGTGAATCTTACAACTTTTTCCTATTTTAGTTGATGAAGGTAGACGCGACCAGCCTTTTCACCCAAAGAGTTTGCGAAGTCTTCGGCATGGAAACTATGAAAGCCATACGTTATGGAGATTACAAGGACGAAAACGGTAAAAAGATGTATCCTACGAAATCGCCGCACGATTTTTACAAAGTGATGGTTAAAAAGTTGCCGGCTAGGAAGGATAACGACTGAAGTACCAAAATTTGAATCTGATTTACTGTTTTTGTTACAATTTTGAAGGTCTACAGGTTCATAGAAGAACTAGAAGTATCCTTAGCCAAAAATTTTTTGCGAGGGTATTATATATACCGTTAGTTAAATATGTAGACAGTTATAATTTTCAAATTCAGTTAGTTAACAAAATACAAAAGTTTGCAAATCATTAATCATTTTCCCAGAACAACAGATTTGACTAATGTTTGTTTAATCTTCTTTATTTAACTTTCATATAATTTATTAGCTATGTCCTCTTGTTTAATCTCTTGCCACTCTTCCGCTTCCATTGATGCTATTTCTAGTTTCAAACCTAACAACATACATCTATTAAATTTTCTTCTAATTCAACTCAATTTTATATTGTGTTTTACTGCTCCCATCTTTCATTTACCCTTTTCATTTGTCTAACAGGAGTCATACTTAATATTGACATGGACATAGATGTGTTTATTTCTGCAGATACGGTGATGGTCAGCAGGCCGAAACCGTTTTCAAATTGTTATTTGTACGCATGTTAAGTTTTAGGGTTTGTCAAGTTTTAGACAGATCGTACTTTTCAACTGCACATTCTCCTGACAACCCAAAATAGTGGCATTAGTGAGACATTTTAAAGTTTAGCCATGGTCCTTCTTTGTTATTTCTCTGGTATTTTGATTGCATATTTGAATTTTTCTTGTATTGTACCTAACATAATCTCATGAAAACTAAAAACCCTTTAAGGAACCTATTTTAGATTAAAACACAAATCTTATTGCATTATTCATTTTTCGTTTAGTACATCAATCAAAAATTATCTTTTGTATGATTGAAATCTTGTTGCATTACTCTTGCAACGCTACCTAGTAAATATTTGTATACAAAAATAATCTCATCCGTCAATTCATAAAAAAATATAAAATTCTGAATTTTTTGGAATATAAGGATATCAGACAGAACTTCTATGCAATCTATAGACCTTTTTAAAAAAGAAATTTGGAAAAAAATTATTTTTTAATATTTTTCGATATCGAACACTTGATGATGGACCAATTTGGTACAACAAAATGTTAATGCTGCCACTGCCATGCAGAATTAAACATTTTTATAACTAACTCAAAAACAAAAATATATTTGTTAGATTATGGAAGTATTTATGTAGTGAGCACCGAAAACGTTGTCCACCTCCTTTAATTTTTGAATATTACAGAGTATATCACGATAAAGTCAAACTACTTCTTCCAAATAAATTGGTCGGCTGATGAATCTGGCATTGTACATTGAGTTCAGTGTTCTGTGGTTGAGTTGATTTGTTTTACTTCTAGTAATTTCAAAAATCTATAGTTTACATGACACTAAGGATAAACTTATTAATAAAATCACATACTACTCTGCGTTTTTTGCTCAAAGTACACAATCAAAGCACAAAGTTGACTTTATTTATACTAATTACGTACAAAACAACTTAAATAAACGCTTGTGTAACACTCACCTTGTCAAAAACATAAGCCAACCATTTGGACAGGACATTCAAATCACTGAACTGCATATTTAATATGAAGGTCGGTGGTTGGAATACCTAATTTTATCTTAAAGTTCTTGAAAACCTCCTAAAAGTACTTTTACTCAAAAAAACAGAGGTAAATATATTCTAAACGTAATGGAGAAATCTTAAAGTTGAAAAAGTCATTTTGTAGAACATACAGAGTTTTAACAATACCCGTTAAAACGTTAAAAAGTATCATTCTATATATTTATCTAAAAAACGTTCTATCAGATTTTTGAGTTCCACTTCAAAAATGAGCTATTAAAATAAAATAATGTTGTTTGTATGTAAACATCATTAGTTAAACTAAATTACATACCAAACTTTTACGGGATAAATTAAATAAATTTGTGCTTACAATAAAAAAGAATTGTGGCACCAACAATCTCTAAAAATAACTGTTCTGTTTATTAATACACTGAATAAATAAATGAATTAAAGTTTTTTATAAAACGTAAACAAATATATAAATATACCTAATTCTCAAATGAACACCAGTGACATACAATGGCGGCTCCAAGACGAATTTTAGGGGGAGGGAGGGGGGAATTGCCTTTAGCCATTCCCTTTTTAGAACATTTTTTTTGGTTAAAAGTCCCATAAACAGTAAGAATTTTCATTTCGGGGGGGCGGGGGGCATGGTCCGTATAGCTCCCCCTGGAGAGCCCTTGGTGACATATCTGACAACTAACAACTGACAGCTTCATTTGTCGTATAATAGTAACCAAATCAGGCACTTTCGTTACATATTGTGATGTTTCCAGGTCATGTAGGATATGGGTATTGTTGAAGACCATATAGAAAAAGGTACACAACAGACATTTTTCGATAAAGGAGACTATGGAATGGGGTTTGAGAAAAAAATCGTTAATCTAAACATTTTAGAAATTTTTAAGTTGGTCCAAATGTTGCCATTGGTCCTTATTGAATACCTATCCGCAATCTCAAAATTATTGCTATTTTCATTAACACGCTAGTTAGTTTAATTATACCGGGTGTTTCAAAAAGGTATAGCATAAATTTTTCCTTAATAGATTACTAAAAATAAGTGGATTTACCTATATCAAAAACTGGCTCCCAACAAAGTTACAGGGCGTTAAATTAACATTCAGAAAAACGTTTTTTTTTGTAAAAAGTTTGCTGTTGAATTTTTTCTTTGAAATTTTTGACAGTGCTGTAGATTGGAAGGCTCAATATTCTAAGGAGAAAAACAATTTAAAGCGACCCCTTCAAAAAAAGTTGGGGGGTTGGGTACCTTTTAACCCCCCCATATTTTTTTTGACAAAGAAACTTGCTTTATCGAAAAGAACTATGAATTCCTAAATTTTTTTTTATAGCAAAATGAACATCTTTCTTAGTTAACGAGCTATTTACAATTTTTTAACTGAATTTCTAGGGCAATTCGTCTGTCCTGGACACGTAAAGGCATAATGTACTATTATTCAGAGCAGTTGTAGTCTGAATCGCAGTATACTATGGCTTTACATTAGGCGTAATTTCAAAAGATAATCTGTACCGTGATTCAGAGACTTTATTATAACGATCTGAAACACAGTATAAAATGGATTTAAATAATTGGCGTTGCTGTTAGAACAAACTGTGTCACAAGTTACATAATTTATATTGCTGATGTTTTATCTTGAATTAGCCAACATGTATCAATTACAACTAAATTCAATTTACTGCAAGATTAAGAAAAATATCGTAAATTTCATAAAAAAAAAATTGTGATTAAACAACTGTCTTTATTAAAAAAATCATTAATGGGTTTTTGCATTGGATTGATGTCTAAAAATATTTTCTACCAAGTTATGCCTCCGTATGGATGTTGTCTTCAATTCCAAATTGGATGGTCTACCTGATTGAATCCGTTTCCTTCCAGATGTGAGGCCATTTCGATTCCTTCTTCTGTTAATAGCTGTAGGTTGAACCACTATTTGTGTTGAAGAGCGTCCTTTCCTAAAATTGCGTTGATGTTGTAATTTTTTTTAATTCAACATTAGCCTTAATGATGCAATTCGTAAAATATGCGGTGTTATTTTCTGATGCAATTTCTATTAGTTTCTGAAAGTTTTCTTTTAGACTTTCTACTGCAGAAGTGTGTTTTCTGTTAACAAATATGTTTGCAAAATTTGCACGTGTTTGTTTGTGCAACAAATAAAATAATCTCAAAATACATTACCAAACTTTTCGATCAGGTGTTTTCAACAAGTGTGGCGTCTGAATCGCAGTATAAATTGGCCGACACTCGTGCCTTTTATTTAGAGTCATTATATACTGTGTTTCAGATCGTTATAATAAAGTCGTGCTCTGAATCACGGTACAGATTATCTTTTGAAATTACGCCTAACGTAAAGCCATAGTATACCGCGATTCAAAGTACAACGGCTCTGAATAATAGTACATTATGCCTTTACACGTCCAGGGCTGGAATCACGACACTCGATTCGATTTAATCGTACAATTCGACGTTCGACTCGACCGCAATTCGAAATAGGATTCATGAAACTCGATCGAGTTGATTTTCGTTTATTGTCGGTTTTTGAAGTCATTTGAACTACTACCAAGACAAATGTAATGTTCTGTGTCAGTTACGTTATGTTCTGTGGTTGCGTTATGTGTCCTGTGACTGTATATAATGTGACAGTCAATAGAATGAAAACCCTTCCTGTTTATAAAATAATGTACATCAACAGGAGGTTTTAATATCGCAATATGAGAGTAAGTGTTCTGCGAATATGAGTTCCGTCTATAGCACCAACTGTACCAGTAAATCCCCATCTATTTAAAAACTAATTTAATAATATCTTGTTCATTTGCAGTTGGACATTTTATTTTAGTGACTACTACGTGATCTATCATCAAATTGGTGATAATATGAACATATTTGAAGACCCAAGTGGATAGAGGGCCTATGTAACATTTTTTTTAAATGGTGTTTTTTTGTAAATGAAGGGATTAGGTACTTAAAATTTGTTTAAAATGTCTCCCGTGACAATATATCATCAAATATAGAAGTTGCCAGTGGATAAAGAACCCATGTACTAGGGAATAACTGTAAAACAATAAAGTTTAACACGAAATATCTCATAAAAATGATTTGCTACATAGGCCCTTCATCCACTTGTGTCTTCATTTGTGCACAGTACTCTGAGCCATTCCAAAAATATACTCTTGATCAACACATCTTTGATATGAACCAGTAGCATAAAACCTTAAGGCACATAAAACCATATTATCAATTGATATGCCCCTAAAATCCTGTCTTTGGTGTAGATGAGGTCGTAAAGTGTCTATTAATTCGTGAACTAAGACTTTATTGAGGCGAAATAATTCAATAAAACGTCTATCCACAAGGAAAAAAGGATTGCTGTTCAGTCGTAACAAACGTCTTTCTCTTATTAAGGCCAAATTTTCTCGTCGACGTTGTCTTTCTAATAAAACTTGGTGAACAATAGGAAGCATTTTTGTTTTTGTTTCTTAAACTTAACCTCAAAATTGCACTACTCTACACCATCTAAGCAGTCGAGTAATTGCGGTCGAATCGAGACGATTATTCGAATGTCATTAATAAATTTTAAACATTTCAGTCGATTAATCGAGATCGAGTATCCCAAATCGAGTGTCGTGATCCCTATGCTGGACTAAACATATCAACAAAACTGAGAGTAGGTCAGGAGTTATTGTACAAAAAACGCATATAAAAATCAGTGGTGTGCCTAGGGCTGTGCTTGAGCCACCCCTGCAAAAACTACCCCTTTTGTTTATATTTTTGTAAAAAAGGTATTTATAATATTGGATTGGCGCCTTAAAAATGGTGTGCCACCCGTCCTCATGGATTCACCATGCCGGTGATAAAAATACACGTTAGTTTGAAAATGTATTTATTAAATTAATTGAGAATTAAAAAAAAATATTAACAAAAAATTAACAATTAAAAATAAACACTTGACAATAATAATAATTATACATATTTTATAAACTATTTAATTTAGTAAATGTTCAACATGTCCTTCTCCTTCTTGAATACAAAAATAAAAATGTAAGGGGTAGTTTTTGCAGGGGCGGCTCAAGCACAGCCCTAGACACACCACTGATTTTTTTATGCGTTTTTTATACCATAACTCCTGACCTATTCTTAGTTTTGTTGATATGTTAAGGCCAGTACGGACGAATTGCTCTAGAAATTCAGTTAAAAATTGTAAATAGCTCGTTAACGAAGAAAGATACAAAGTTAATTTCTTTATAAAAAAAATTAAAAATTCATAGTTCTTTTAGATTTTAAGATCGATGAAGTAAATTCCTTTATGTCAAAAAAAAAACTTTTTTTAAGGGGGTCGCTTAAATTTGTTTTCTCTTTAGAATATTGGGCTTTTAAATCTGCAGCACTGGTAAAAAATTCAAAGAAAAAATCCCAACAGCAAACTTTTTACAACAAAAAAAGTTTTTTTTTAATGTTTTTTTAATGGTTTAACGCCCTGTAACTTTGTAAGGAGCCAATTTTTGATATAAGTAAATATACCCAAATCCACTTATTTTTTGGTTATCTATCTGAGGAAGAATTTATGACATACCTTGTTGAAACACCCTGTATAATGATTTAATAGTGTATACGGTGTCGACCACTGAACATTTTCCAATACCCTTTGCATAAGTTCATGCGAAAGATACAGAGAGTTAGCATTAGGGCGAGTAGGAAACGAATTTCGAAACGTCGGCCGGGCGCACCCTTTCTACTCCTACGCCGTAAGAGCGCATTACGCTCGTTCCACGTGCATCGTTCCACTTGCATCGTTCCACAAGTATAGGAAAAAGCAAGCCTTGGATCTAGCGAAACGAACGCACCCTTTCTACATCTCTCTGGCTTCACTCATTAGGTTCATGCATTCGCTGTAAAAGCAGTATGCACCAGTGTCAATTACACCACCTTATTTAGTTAGTTTACTTTCTCTTTTTTTTATAAACATGTCGAGTGTAATTCACTCCTGCTAAATAGCTGGCGGAGGAAATATCCACCAGTGGACAGCACATCGCCAACAGGAAGGTGTAGTGGATTTTATACCGGGCCAAACGAAAGGTATAGTGTCCGTTGGTATAGTTCATTCCTACACCAGTAGGACGAACGAAAGAACCTATTGTCTTATGTCTTCTGCAGTAGTTAGGAGGTGAGTGGGACAAACCGACAAACATAAGGTCTTTTCCTTTGCATCGAAAGTGTAGCAATGAACTACACCACTTCTTAAAATATCATTTCATCCATACAATTTGTATAAATGGAACGATATTTTTAGAAGTGGTGTATGTCAGTGCTACACTTTCGATGCAAAGGAAAGACCTATAGTAATCGTAGTATGATGCTCTTATGGTGTAGATGGAAAAAGAGCGCGCGTTCACCAACTATGTTAGTAATTCTTTTCCGTTTTTTATAAACGTCCACAACATCAAGGATACTTTTAATTTTAATTATTTTTATTATTAGTTATAGAGACAATAATAAATATTTCAATCCACAACTGACAACACGATTATCGCTATTAAATACAAACTTGGACATCACACACAGTGATTTTAAATTTAACAAGGTGGCAACGTTGCAAACTCAAGGACCAATAGATAATTCCATAAATTAGTTTGTTTTATGTTTTGTGGAAGGAAATAATGATAAAAGTTAAAGGTTAAATGGTCAAAATATTGCATTTAATTATAATCTAAATGAAAATATCGAACACAATATAATTTTCATACTTAATTTTACTTAAAATATTATAAAAAGTTAGTTACTTCAATAAACTAGTGCCAAAATTTCGAAATTCGCACCTCCGGATAGTAGGATGAAACTCTTTTGAATACTTGTTGCAGTAGAATCACTTAAAAGTCAGTCATCTTCGCTTTATGATGATTTTACTGATAATCTTTCTACTTTCAAATGATTTAGAAGAACCAATAGTTTATTTGTCCTTTTCCTTAAATCTTCTCTCTAGATTTTTGCACTCCATATTTTTTGTAGCCTTTAAATATCCTCAAGTATCGTTTCTTAAGGCCTCTAAATATTAATTTGTCTTTCATATGTAAACTTCTTGCATTAAAAATAAATAATATACCACGGTGAATTAATTGAGGTAAAGCAGGATACCCCATTTTACCCACAAGACCAATTTTCCAGGAAAAAGCATGAAGACTATTGAAAACCAAATCTGTTGTTTACACAAAGATCAGTAGAAAAGCCTAATATTTCACTTCTTCTAGCTTTTAAAATAGAATATATTGTTCTAATGAATTTCTTTCATTATTGTTAAATCTTTGCCCTACCTGTGCACGTAATTGTGGTGCCATGGTAAGATGTCACTTTTTATTTAAACTGTGAGTGACACTATTCCATTTTAGACAATTTTCCCCCATTTTCAGCGGCCTTTTATGTTACCCTAATGTGTTAATTAAGAAGGAGAATGGCAATATCTACCCAATAAAAACTATTTTTCATTAATATATACTTTTTTTAAGTTTCAAGAATTTCAAGGGGTGGATAACGATATTGTGATCTACACTTTTTAAGATTATTGATAATTGCTAGATAAAAGTAGCAAAAAACACAATAACGTTTAATTGATCCACAATACTTCTGTAATTTTTTAGGATTGATTAGTTTTAGAGATAAATTACATTTTTCAGTATAAAATATTAAAGTGTGCTCAAATATTGAGATTTACGTTTGCTAAAATATTGAGATTTAAGTGTTCTCAAATATTGAGATTTACGTTTGCTAAAATATTGAGATTTAAGTGTGCTCAAATATTGAGATTTGTATGCTCAAA